AATTCCATTTGTGATTTACAGTATGGTTTGCATGTGAGAGAACACTGTCTATTTCCTTTACCTGAAGGCTACGCTTCTCTTCTCATGGACAGTATTTTGACTGGATCTGGTGATTCAGGAATGAAAGAGTATCATAAACTCATAGAATGACAGAATGGTTTGGGTTGGAAGGGACCTGACAGCCCACCCAGCCCAACCCCCTGCCATGGGCAGGGCTGCCCCCCACCAGCTCAGGCTGCCCAGGGCCCCATCCAACCTGGCCTTGAGTGCCACCAGGGATGGGGAACCCACAGGTTCTGTGGGCAGTCTGCTCCAAGTATTTTTTTATTATTATTATTTTTATTTATTTTTCTTGCCCCTGTAAAGAGAATGTCCTCAGAAGTGCCAATGTTCAGTTGTTTACCTCATTTCAAAAAATATAATGTAACAAATAAAAGGATGTGTCAAGCTACCCCATGCAGCCACAGGTTTAGATGATGTGTATGCCAGCTAGAAATTTAAATGTGTTCTCCTGAATGACCTGTATATAAAATAGAAATGTCTTTTATTGGTGTCATGCTTTGAAATTTGTTGTCAGAACCCCAGGCTTAATGCCCTGCTTTTAGGTTCTGGGGTAAATACATGGCAGCCACAGACATTCAGCTTTTTGAGTCAGAGCTTTAGCCTTAACTCATAGATAGAACCATAGAACCATTAAAGTTGGAAAAGATCTCTCAGATCTTTGGTCCAACCATCAGCCCACCCCCACCATGTCCATTACCCATGTCCCTCAGTGCCACATCCATCAGCTCTTCAACACCTGCAGAAACAACGACTCTACCACTTCCCAGGGCAGCTTGTGCCAGTGGTTTTGGTTTGTTTGAGGTCAAGGAAGATAGATACACTTTGCCATAAAGTCATGCACAGTGGTGTGTGCCAATAAAGATTTTATTAGTTTGAACTTTGGAATACCACATTACTCATAAGTGATGATGTTACGTGTAAATCCATTGTTTCAGGAAATACAGGAGGCCGATGCTCAGTGTAATGTGAGAGAATCCCTGTCCTGCTGAAAGACGAGACCAATTTCCGGTGCCTTCAGCACGAGCAGCATTTTGCCAGTGACATGTTCAGTAGCAGCAACACACACACACACACAGATGCACACACATTTATGCACACATATATACGCATATATGTATGTAGGCTGCACCGAAAGTAGTGCCTTTTATTTATTTTCACGGAAACTACAATAACAGTATGCGATAAAGCAAATTCTCAACAAACACTACTTTTCAACATAGTCACCACTGTTAGCTATGCGTTTTCACCAGCAATGAACAAGAGCCTGCATGCCACGCTCATAAAAATCGACACCAGTGGAGGTGACCCACTGTCACTGTCACCACTGCTAAAGGCACCACCCACCGCCTCACTGTGCTCACATCCACTGTTTGGTGTCTATAAACGTTTAGTAAGTGCTGATGAATGTTAATGAGTGCCATTTTTGCATGTGGAGGAATTCAATGACACACCTTTGCTCCATCCGTGCTTCTTGTCAGACACCATTCTGTCAGACCACCCTTCTGCTGCCATCTGTCACACGACAACAAAATGGAATGGAATATTGGTGGGAAGGTTCAACCTGTACTGCCATCCCACCAACATCTGCCTCTGATGTAATGGGCCAGCATCATAACACAGGAGGCATTACTTCTGGAGCAGCCCTCACAGAAACATATATATATATGTACATGTGTGTGTGTGTGTTTTCAAATTTTGGCATGGTATGAGTAACAGACATAATATATAACAGTAAATATATACACTTATACATATTTTAGATATAGTATATTCTGTACTATATAGCATACATATAGATATATATGCACGTACACATCCATCGACGTCTGAAGCGCGCTCACCTCCTGCCGTACGTACGCACACATGTACATACAACACTCCTTTCGACTAACTCAGCCTCCGGAGCTCACTCCGGCGTCCGGCCCCAGTACCACCGCGCCGTCTGACAGCGGCTGGGCGGCGGCCGGGGGCAGCGGGGGCGGCCCCGGGGCTCGCGGGGCGCCGGGCGGGGGCTCGCCCAGTCACCGGCGGGAGGCGGAGCCGGCGGGGCCGCGGCGGCGGCAGGTGTCCGCGGCGCTGGCGGCGGGATGGTGGCGGCGGCCGGCGCGGGGCCGTAGGGCGGCGGCGGGACCGGCAGCGGGGCGGCGGCGGGGGCGCCATGGGAGGCGGTGGCGGCCCCCCGCGCCGTGGCGCGCCGCGGAGGCTGCTGGCGGTGCTGGCGGTGCTGGCGGCCGCGGCGGCGGAGGCGCGGGGCACCGCGGCGAGTCAAGCGCCCGGCGCGGCGGCGATGGGCACCGGCACCCCGCCGAGCCCCAGCGGCACCGCCTTCGAGGAGACGCGACTGCACGTTTTCACCTTGGACTACCCCCACGTGCAGATCCCCTTCGAGATCACCCTCTGGATCCTGCTCGCCTCTCTCGCCAAGATCGGTGAGCGCGGCCCACGGGGACTCCCGTGCCCCGCAGCCCGGGATCGCCGCGGGAGCCCGGCGCGGGGAGCGAAGCACCGGGCGGGGGGCGCGGGGTGGGGCTCCCGGGGTCGGCGATGCCGCTTCTCAACGTCATGCCCCGGGACGGGCTCGTTCGGAGGGTTTGGGATGGGAAGGTGCAGGTGAGCAGCGGTTACCTGCAGCCCGCTAAAGCACGGGCTGGTAGGATTGGAAAGCCGAGAGTTTAGCCGGGCACGGCAGGGTGTTCCTTGATGGCTCTGCTGCCATCGGAGCTCTGTTTTCTTCCTCTTAAAATAACACCGGCTATAATGACAGTTTCCTAACAGAACAACAGATCGATGGAGAGCAAATATTTATGAGGAAGACTCCTCGTTGTACTTTCCCCACCATTCACTTGTGTCCCAAGAAAGATAGAAAGTGCAGCACTGAATGAGTGAGAAAGGCCGCTTATTCCCTCATGTGGAAATTATTTGTATTGCATAGTTTCACAGTTTAGTGTGGTTTACAGATCGTGTGTCTAATGAGCTTTCTGTACCCCAGACTGAATAAACGGGTACAGCAGAATCATCTAAAGATGTCAGGAAAATGCATACTAGAGAACTATGTTAGAGTCAGTAAAACTGCATCTGATGGACTCTGTCTCAACTGAAAAATAGTGGCAGGGATAGAGCTGTGGAAACCCAATAAAAGTGTCTGTTCATCCTTGGTTTAAATGGGGAATCTGACTTTCTGGCACAGATCTGGGTGGTCCTGTGGGCAGCCAGGAGTTGGACTCGAGGTTCCTTGTTGATCCCTTCCAACTCCAGTTTTCCTATGATTCTGTGATTTCAGTCAAAGATGCTTTGATAGAACAGCTTGATAAAACTTTGATATGACTTCTTTTGACATTTAAACAGGGTCACATTATTTACACATTACATGTTAGGTAGCTGAGTTCCTGCAAAAATGTCTCCAGCCACAGCCAGCATTGAGCTGGGAGCCTGATCCTCCACCCCTGTACCTCACTGTAGCTTCATTGCTTTCTGCAGAAATACCTTTATCTTGCAGCCAGCCATTCAGGCTGCACATCTGAATGCATTAAAGGTGCATACTTAGCCTTGAGGATGAATGTAGGTGTTTGCAGAATCAGGATATAGTTCCAGAGTGATGCACTCAGATAAATCGTGAACCATCATAGCCATAACATAAGGGATTTGGGAAAGAACTCAGCCAGTCAAGTGCTGAAGATTTGCTCCAGCTTCTAAGCCTAGATACAGCAAGAACTGTTGAATCAACTAACACTCCGTTTGCTTCATTAACAATTAAAGGAAATCCATCTGAAATATGTCAGCACATATATACACAGTAATAGAACCTGCAGGACTGTATACGTTGTAACTGTCATGGCATTTTGCTAGTGCACAGGCATCTAAAAAGTAAGAAAATGAGAGTTGCCTATTTTTACTTCCCAAGCTGACTGCAGAGCAATGAATAAGCTAGGAGTGTAAATGAGCAGAAATGCCTATAATTGTCAAATCCCTTCAGCTACACCAAACGAAGGCTGATGTGGCAGATGTAGGGCACTGTCTCTGCTGTTAGCAGCATGCTGCAAGCAACCAGGGCCAGGTCCCAGGTGTGGCCACACTGGCTCCACCACGCCTACCTTAAGGGCCCCGGCTGTGGGGCTGGAATTAGGAACATCCAGTTCTGGCTCCCAGGCTCCTGCTGCGCTCCTTATCCAGAGACTGCATCGCGCACACCTGCCCAGTGCAGGATCTCATCACTCCCAAGCCTAAATCTGTAGGACAGGGTGGTTTGCCTCAGTTCAAAGGGATGGAGAGGAGTGTTGAGCCCCTTCTGCAAGGCAGCTCTCAGGGACATCACTCTCCTCACATTTCTTCCAGGCAGCGCAGGCATTCTGCCTGTGTCGTGCCACCTCGAGGCGCATGCACTGCCCAAGAAACTTGGGTGCTTAATCTGGCATCACGCATTCCTTTCTGGGGCTGGGCACAAGGTGCTTACTTATAGCACTGTTGAGCAGCAAGGCTTTATGAACAGAGCCCTGAATTCTGCTCAGCTGCAGGGAGCACGGAAGATAAGGACACTTTTAATAACAGCACTCACCACATCCTTAGGATCCCAAAGAACTGTATCCCAACACTTGCTTACTGCGTTTTTGAACAAGCATGTTTTTGCAGAAGTGCAGTTCGACTGACGTGGAAGTGTTCGAAGATATGCTCATTGTTACGAGGGATATCTAACTGAAAGGCTTCTCAGATCCCCTGATTGTAGACTAGGATTATCAAGAGCACAAAGGACAGCGTAAGAAAGGAAAAGTTATCAGGGAGATCATAAGCAATTTGGTGAAGTACGTAGAAATTAGGAACTTAGTATTTATATTCCAACAGAGAGCAAGAGCACCTTTTGAAATCTAAGAAATTGCCTTGAGCAGAATTGCTAATTTCTGTCTACCTCTAGTTACTTATCTTGTATGGTGATACCATACATGAGGTATGTCGCTAACATGCTGATGAGGTCACTGGTGCATTAGGTGGAATCCAGTGCACCCCAAATATGCTGTAATCTCTAGGCAGTGAGACTGGTCTGCTTACTGCCACATATTGCTGAACTTCTGTGCCCCTAAACTTAGAAAACATTGTCTAACTCACGCAGATTGTCATTACTCATATGCTTAATCACAAGCACAATTAGAAGTGCTGCCTCTCAGAACTGACCTGATGCCCCATCCCTGGAGGTGCTCAAGGCCAGGTTGGATGGGGCCCTGGGCAGCCTGAGCTGGTTGGGGGCAACTTTGCCCATTGCAGGTGTTGGGGCTGGGTGGGCCCTGATGTCCCTTCCAACCCAAACCATTCTATGATGTCCTTCCAGCACTTCTCTCCCTAATAAAAGGTTCTCCTGAATAAAACTGTGCAGCACCTGAACCCTGAGAGTTGGATCACACATGCATAATCAAAAGTGCATGTCTCGGTGGCATTGCCAGCAACAGAAAGCACTGGACTTCACCCAAGAATAGGAAACCAGGACTCCAAGGTCCTTTCAGCTTGAAGAATATTGAACTTGCACATTAGGCAATGCCCAGTGGCCTGAGGGTAAACATCTTCCATGCTTCTACTGCATAGTCAGGAGTCCAAGAACAAGGTCAGAAGAGGAGAAAGTAGCTATGAACTTGGGTTCAGCCAAAGGTCATTCATGTGCTGCATAGTGGGAGCCCTTCAAGAATGAGGTAGAGTACCAATTGCTCTGGGAAGGTATGAGCTTTCCAAAAAGTGACTTGTAAAGGAAAAAAAAACAAGAAAAAGATTTTTATTTTATGTTCATAATAGACATTTCATTGCTTTTGCATTAGAACTGCTTGGAAGCTTTTTTTTTTTTTCCTCATTAAAAGCTGCATTTGTATAAATACCCTTGTATTCATTTTTTTATTGAAAATGTTTTAAGATATTTTCCAAGGGCTTTTAAATCTTCTAGCAAAAACTATTTGCTCAGGAGAATCTTCTTAATCATTCTGTCAGAAATGTTGGCGTCCCACCACTGCAGAAATGAAGGCAGACCATAATATATTCAAGTGGAAGTGTCTGAAAGGTGAAGAGACAAGTGTGCAAGAGGCAATTTTTATCTTCCCAGGGTCATTACCTGCTCTGCTCATACATCAGACTGGATCCTAGTGAATCCAGTTCCAAAGAATGATAGTGAATTTAGCAATCCTAATGCGTCACAAGGCTGTTTCCGTATATTAAAAAGCACTCTGTTCATCCAGAAGGAAGACAGAAAGGAGGCTTGAGGTGCTTATTTTTAAAAACAGCTTTAATTGTTATTGAAAAAATAAGTAAAATTCTGTAAATTAGAACAACTCCCCCCTTATTCTTGTTTAACCATTTGTTTTCCATAATTGTAAAGTCAGGCTTTCTTTTACCTGGAAAAAAAAACAGTGATGAAAGGAGAATTAACAAAATAAGTGCTGCAAGATACAGAAGCCTCAGACTGGGAACCTGGATGCAAACTGTTCCAAGTTTGCAGAAGTTTAACTGTTTCGACTACAGGTGTGAATTTTACTGAAATAGTTTTACTGAAATAGACGCCCGTTATTACCACACCCAGTGTTTCCACGCAGCTCTCATTTAAAATAATTTAATGCTTTTTACTTAGGCGGGAATTGTAGGATCTTGTGGGTGTGGATAGTTTTCTATATAATTATATGGGCCAAATATAGATAAGGAGGAGCATGGAAAAGATTGGTATCGCCACGACCTGGAATGTGACCTTTGTGCATAGGGTTGACCATTCCATTAGATTGGCCAAAGTAAGTTCCTTTCAAACATCTGCCATTCATTACTGAAAGTCACCCCTACAATAATCAACTTCTAAAAGTAATTGGAATCTTTAAATCAAAACTATATGACTTTGAGAACTGTAGTAGGCAGTGGAATACTCAACCATTAAGTCTTCATCCTAAGCTTTTTTTTTTTTTTTAATTTTTTTTATCACTATGCACAGATTTTTGTGACAGACTCTTGGCATTACCATAATTCATATAATAGAGAAGGATTAGTATAATAATACAAGCTGCATTTTATTGTCCCTTTGTAGAAAACATATTTCTTTTTGTTGTTGTGAAACCAATTTGGAGGCTCTGTTAAAGAGTAATGTGGCTGAAGATGCTTCCCCATGGTCACTGAGAAAGTGTCTTGGCTGAGTGGATGCAGGTCATATGCTAGTGCCCCTGGTTTTCAGACTCAAGAAGCCTAAAAATAAAAAGAATGTCCTTGTTTCTTAAGTTCCTTTGTGAATGGAGGAAGGGGTAGTTATCCTGAATTTTTTTCTCTACCTAGGTGTCACTTGCCCTTTAGAAGAAGTCTTTGGAATGTGTTCCTTTAGGATTCTAAATTACAAACAACCACAACAGAAACAAGCTAAAGAACTTGAAAATAACAACAAAAAATGACAACGTAGTTTCACAAACAAGGCACCAGTTGTTCTAGCTAGCCTAGCAATTAGCAGGAAACTCTAGCTATTAAATTGCCTCTCCATCAAATTAATTGAATTAACTGTGCTGGATGACAGGTTTACATTGGCCTGTGATGGTGGTCCATTTCAGTCTGGTCAGTTAAACTGAAACTGCCCTGCAGTTGCTGTTTGTTTACCAGAGAGACTAAGATAATAGAATGTAGAGTAGTTGTTTGGATTCTTTGCAAATAACTTTTTCATTTTCTTGTGTTTGAATTTCCTTTGAAGGCTTCCATCTCTATCACAAGTTGCCCTCAATAGTACCTGAAAGCTGTCTCCTTATTCTGGTTGGATTGCTTCTTGGAGGGATTATTTTTGGAGCAGAGGAGAAGTCCCCACCTGTAATGAACAGTGATGTGTTTTTCTTATATCTCCTACCACCAATTGTACTCGACGCTGGATATTTTATGCCAACTCGTCTTTTCTTTGAGAACTTTGGTACTATATTCTGGTATGCCGTGGTGGGCACTCTCTGGAATGCCATTGGCATTGGGATTTCACTTTTTGGAATTTGCCAAATCAGTGCATTTGGTTTGACTGATATCACCTTGCTGCAGAATTTGCTCTTTGGCAGCCTCATTTCAGCTGTGGATCCTGTGGCAGTGCTGGCTGTGTTTGAAAATATCCATGTCAATGAGCAGCTCTACATCCTGGTGTTTGGAGAATCATTGCTGAATGATGCTATAACTGTGGTAAGTTACCTGATAAATGATGAGTTGATTAAACTGATAAACGATTGCTTGCATGCCACTGTGTGGCCTGCTTGAACATATGTGGTTATTGCAATTTGCTAAAAGAGGGAAATCAGTAAGTACTAATGCATTTATGTAATTCTTTGAACTTTAGATTTAGGAACTACAGTAGTCTAGCTACAGCAGAGCAACGAGTAATGGTAGCATATTTGCTTAAGTGATTTTACTACCTGACCTCTTTAGTTTCTGTATCTTTAAATTCTGTCACTTCCGTAATCTTAAACTGGAGGCTTGCCTCACCTGCAGAACTAATTGGATGTGACAGGCAAAAGGGCCAGTGTGAGGTGTTCTGTGTATTCTCAGGGAGATTGGGTGAGTTATTGAGCTACTATGGGCATGGGATCCAGGTGATGCCAGGTGTTCACATGTGCCTGTCTGGTTCAGACTGCCCAGAGCCCATCCGTACATTCTCCCAGGCTACAGATGAGCCAGGAAAACCACCTGGAGGTTGAAGTTTCTAATCATTAACTAGCTGCACCATGTTTGTGGTGCTGACCTGAGGACAAAAATCTGTAAATTCCATTAACACTCCCAGTGCCCCTTGTTTGTACCTGATGACACTGTGTCTGGAACATTACTCCCATTTATCTATACCTTACTTGCCCATGTTAACTATGTCATGGCATGCTTTCTGTTTTATGAGACATGGAAATCCATTTTTTTCATAAGACAGAATGATGAGGAAGATTGATGAACTGGGTCCTCACCTTCCCTGTCTCCGGCTTCTTATCAACTGTCCCACTCCATACAGAATTCTGATGCAGTTTTCCTCCTTTCTGGGACATTCTCTCACCTGCTTAACACCTGTGTATCTCAAGCTTTTAATCTGAGCCTTGCTACTGATAATTTCTTGAGTGCCCTGAGATGTGCTGTTGTACACATATAAAGCTTTGTGCTTTACTAGACTCTATGTTGCATCCCCTCATATGGCCTTGACTTAAAGCCTACCTGTTCTCATCAGCTTTCAGCTGCCTCTGCCTGGCTGAGAACTGAACTGGCACCTAAGACAGTTGGGGAAAACAGTGGGTGTAAATTTTGAGTTTCAAACAGTTCAGCTATGGCTGTGTCTGTGTCTATTCACTCTTAATGAGCACACGTGCAAGGGAATCCTTTTCATATTATTTTTCGAGAGGAAAAAAGGGCTACTTTAATGTTAATATAAGGTTTTTATTTTTTTTATTTTTCCTTCCAAAATTGCTTTTTCCAATCACAAAATCAATTGCCTTTCTACAGGAGTAGCAGTTAATCTAGCAATTTTTGCTAGCAAAACACTTCATCTTGATGGTGGAAGTGTGTATGCATGCCAATGCCCAGTGGTGGGTTACTTCATGGTACCTTTTTCTTAGGCACTGGCATGGCACTGATTTGTGGCTTTCCTGTAGGCATCATTGTTGCCTTCTTCACAGTCCTTTCTCATGAAGTGCCTGCCCAAGTGCCCCACCATGGGGAGGGGTACTCTCAGGAGCCTGTTGGGCCAACCCAGCAGGTACACTGGCCATACTTGTATTCATGAGGAGTGAAAGGGATTTAGAGTCTGTTTGGTCTTACTTCCCAGCTATTGCCTAGAGGTGATTCCTGGCAGGAGACCAAGTGGTTTCCACATGCTAAGCACTTGTCTGTTAACGGCTCCTTGTTATGATTTTGCACACCTGCAATCGTGCTTAAACTGAAAATGCAACTCAGGCCACCTCATGAGGCTGCTCTGGAGTGCCCTGGGTGGACTTTGCTCCCACACCATGGCGGTGCTACTGGAGCAGTCCTTGCTGCAGATGCCTGTGATGGGATGCAGGATCGGGCAGGAGGGGTGCTGAGGTCAGGCTGGCCATGGGCAGTGCTGCATGGCATGACTCCAGTAAACATGCTTCCTAAATAGTCTAAGCTCTTCTTCCTGCTAACCTGCTTGCACTGCTGGTCTGCTGCTTTTCTTAGGAAAGCAGTGTCATCTGTGCTTTTCATTTTCAGGAAACTTGCTATCCCACCTTCATTTTAGCTATAAAGCGGGGTGTGCATTCTCAGAACTCTCAACTCTGCTGTGCTTCTCGTATGGCTTTCACGCCTAACTGGTTTCACAATTTGGATGATCCCACTGGTGAAATTTTGAAGCTTGAATTTAGTTGAGGACAATATTTGTCAGTAAGTTGTATTGCTTCTCATTTGGATTGGTGCCTTACCACCCACCCGCTTCAGTGTCAGCTACCATGAGGATGCTAAATGGCAAAATTACAGTTGAAGCTGAGTTTTAGAGGTTCAAATTCCAGTTCTGGGCTTCAAATCACACAGAAGGAGCCAGTTTCATTACAATAATATTATTCCTGTATTAAAAAACATTACAGCAGCGCTCTGCATTCTACCTCTACCAAAAACATTATTTTAGAGTGCTTTTGAGTAATTTCAGAATTAAAAACTAATAACTGAAAACTGATGAAAATAAGTCATTAGTGTCTAGGAGGAGCATACTCTGAGACACAATTAGAACCATTAGTGACTGATGCCTCCTTGGTGTAACCTTCAGCGAGTTCAGCTAAAGGATGTTGAGTAAATCTTGAACTTGAATAAAAACAGTTTGCATGCCAAGTGCATTGCAAAATGTGGCTGGTGTTACTGTTGTTTAACTCACCTGAAAGCTTAATGAGAGCTGTAAATCTGAACTAGCTGTGCAGTAAAAGGGAATGGAACCTGATTGTGATCTCATGTACAGTAGTGCAAATAAAGAACAATAAGGAGATTAAAATCATTTTCTTGACATTCCATGGTCCTAGCTACTGCTTCCAGCATGGCATGGTTTTCAACCGTGAACGTTGCATTTCTTCTTTCAAATAAGTTGTGGCAGTAAACTCTAGATTTATTTCTATGCTGAAAACAGGCTCCATTCTGTTTGCAGGTTGAGTTCTTTGCACTTGAGATGAGGTGATGCTATGGAAAGGCTGTTGCTTGAGTAGGTCAAAATTATATGCTTTACAAGCAGCTGCCAGTGACCTTTTTCAGATACTTGCCAAACATATATATAAATTTATATATACACTTATGTAGTTAGTTTTGAAAATGTAAAACAAGGCTTTTTGACTCAAAGAAAATGATCGTGATTCAAAATCATACCAAGGTAGATGAGATTCTATAGGTGTCTTGAAAAATAGTACAATACAGGGGCAATTGCAGGTGCCAAGAGGTGACTCAGGGAGACTTCTCTCCTTTCTTGACACAAAACAGCAGTACTTTTTTTTTCAGCCTGTGATTCAGGGAGCCCTGTGAATCTGTGGAATGAAGGGTCTTTGTAAAATGAAAAACGAAGGCACACCTTGTCAGGAGGCTTAATTCTGGTATGCTTCTCTCCATGCAAATTCATAAGGTCTAGAAATCAAAACAGGTTTTGAAAAGACAGAAACAGAAAACCAGTGGAGCATATGACATTACTTTCCTGTCCATTTCCTTTCCTGTGTGCATGGGACATAAATATCGAGGAACTGGGCAAAAAAAGCTGTGAGTCTGCCTCGCAGCAGAAAGGTGAGTGGGTTTGCCCAGGTGAAAAATGACACTTCTCCCGGGTGGACGCATCCTGGGAGCATCATGCTTATGAAGCAAGCAGTTCATGCTCCTGCTCTTCCCCTGTTTGTTGCTCTGAAGTAGAAATCAGAAATTACTGGTGACCCTGCTAAGTTTGATTTAAGCTTGTTTTTTTTTCACGCTTGTGCTGGAATATGTTTTTTTTCTTTTTCAGTTCTTTCCTTTCACTTAGCTCAAAGGACCCTTAATAGTCCATATCTTCAATTACTCTTTACCTAGGACTTTTACCTATGTAAGTCTTCTCAAATTTTGGCTAAGAAGAGCTGTAAAGCTAACTTTCTGTCAAGTGAGAGAGAGCAAGGCTGCAAAGGTGACAATTCCCTTTCCCTCCCTGTATTCAAATACCTACAATGTTGGCACAATGCAAGTACTGATAAAAGATTGTTCTTTCAAATAGCATTTCTGATAGAGAAGCCTATTTGATTCGCTAAGAAGTCCATAAAGAAAGCAGAGTTTTAACTCCTGTAAGCTTCCCAAGCTGACGTTTGTTATGAACATGGTGGCTAAGCCTGTGACCCCAGTTTCTACTTCTGACTTAGGTGTGCTCTGTGCTAGGAATAGGACCAAATTTTGGCCTGTGCACAGGGATCATGTAGCCATCGTGATATCACAAGGCTGGAAGCACACATGTAACACTGGGCAATGCTTGAATCTTCCAAATATATCTGCAATTGTGAAAACCATTGAAGATTTTTTAAAAGTGATTGATTCCATTGTCATTTTAGTGGTAACTACTGATTAGAAGAACTTGGAGTTTATATTATTGTTTTATATATAGAGAGAAAAGGAGATCTGGCCAAGAAAATGTTATAATCCCATTCACCTCATTTGTTTAGGAGGGCAATTGTAAGAATTTTGAAAATGAAACTGGGCAAATACACAGGTCTTCTTTGGGAATTAAATCCAAATCTCTAGAAACAGTGTAAAGTTTGGAAAGTCCTTAAACTATTGGATTCCAAATGGCTAGTATATCAGAGAAAGGCCACTTCATGGATGCCATGTTTCTTGTAATCTCTGGGGTGGATGCAGTCCAGTGTTTCTCAAAAGTGGGTTCAAGGTAGACTGAGAAATACAAAGTCCGACCACGAACCAGAGAAACGCAATGGCACAAAAGGAAATTAAGAAGAATTCAGAAACATAATGTGCTTTCTTTTTCTCATAGGTCCTGTACAATTTGTTCAAGTCTTTCTGCCAGATGCGCACAATTCAGGTTATTGACATATTCGCTGGGATTGCTAACTTCTTTATAGTGGGGATCGGTGGAGTATTGATTGGAATCCTTTTGGGATTTGTAGCAGCCTTTACCACCCGTTTCACCCATAAAATCCGAGTGATTGAGCCACTCTTTGTCTTCCTGTACAGTTACTTGTCATACATAACAGCTGAAATGTTTCATCTCTCGGGCATCATGGCGTAAGTACCCCAAACTTCAGTAATAATAGCACCCAAATAAGAATGGGAACTGCAGAGAGGACCAGATTTTGCAAACCCTGCTATATGGCCTCATTCCACTGTGAATGGCAGTGGAGCTGTCTTGAGGATTTGTGGCTTCTCCCATTCTGCTCCCACCCCATTGTCTCAGCTTGCCACCACACCAGCTGTGTCACTAAAACTGCCTGTGGCATCGCACCATAAACCATATCTTTGAAATGTTTTAAATTAAAAATAATCCCTAGTATTTTTGGTGGGGTTATTTTTACCTCAGATCAGTTGGGTGACCCGTGTCCTCACGAGACCCTGCCACTGGTCACACAGGCATGGCCCAGGGGTGGCACACAACGATGTGGGGGCAGCCATGGCAGGCAGGGAGTGGCAGTGGTAGCTGCAAACCTCATGAGCTGGCTTTGCTGCTGATGCCAAGATATTGTGAAACTGCATCTTCATGTAGTCATGTGAGCAGCCAGCAAATGCCATTCAGTGGAGACAATGTGTGTATCATCCAGGCAAACTCCTGCTGCATTACAAATATAGTAAGATTTGCAGAATCTAGTCCTATGATGATATAAACCTTCAGTTTAATAACTTGATACATGTACCTGTGTGTTACAGTGCTCTCTGAATACATTGTTATGTACAAAATAATATTATTCTTCCTGCTGCTAACAGATAAAAATATTTTCCCTCTGTGGGCTTTCTCTCCTGGACTTCAATAAAGAGACAGCACAGCCTTTTTTTTTTTTTTTTTTTTTTTTTTTTTGATGCTGTTTATACTCTAACAGTTTCATCTTTAGAAAGAGCCTTTATGACACTTGATATGCTTAAATGGTTTTCTCAGGTTCCAAGTAATATTTTTAAAAGGCTGACCTTCTTTAATGGCTTTGTGTTGTTCTATGGCAAATGTGAGTCATTCAGGCATAAGAAACATAGATACTTGAAAGCCTATATGTTACTACTGAGTGTCACTAAAACTCAGTAATTACTGATTTGATAATTATCCTGTAAGAATGTGAAGATAGGTATGATATCATAGTCCTGGCAGTATAAGATCTTCTGGGTCTGAGGAACAATTTTCATGGAAACTTACAGCTGATAAAAAAAGAAATATGCCATGAAACCACAGGAGTCAGTACTTTAATGTAAGTAAAGAGCTAGGGATTGCATGGGTTTCTTTCTCTGATATGAGCCTAAATAAAGCAACGTATGCATCCACTTTGACCGAGTTCATAAATGAGCCATCTCTTTCCCCACCTTCTATTCATAGCATTTGTGTGGTTTCTAGTTTCCTCCACTTCTTAAGTCAAATGTTCTTGACATCCTATGATCAAATACTCAAAGGGCTTCAAAGCCAAATATGTGTGGCTAAACTGCACATGGAAAAAGTTGTATCAGCATGCAGGAAAATACCAAACTGGACATTCTGCATCCGGGATAAAATGGGAAGGGCAGAGTGGGAACCAGCACACCATTGCTTCATGCTGCATCAGTGAGCTATTCATTTCTGTTTGCAATGGCAGCCCTTGAATGGGTACAAAACAGTGAAGGAAGCCACCAGTTTTTTTTGTTTTGTTTTGTTTTGTTTCATCCAGCAATATGACAGAAAATTAGTTATCTTTAAAATATCCTATGTATGTTTTTATTCTAAGTGGACTTCAAAACAGCTGAGGGAGCTGAATACCTTGGTGGCAATGGTGGGAAGGAGGAAGGGACCTCTGCAGTGGTGCAGACACTCTGATACCATGGGACATACAGCATAGCCCCTTCCCTGCAGTGCTGCTGAGCACCTGCAGCTCCCATAACCTCCACATCACCTTGGAGAGTCTGGAGAAGAGGCTCAGGGGAGACCTCATCACTCCCTACAGCTACCTGAAAGGGGGTTGTGGTGAGGTAGGGGTCAGCCTCTTCTCCCCGGTAACAGTGATAGGACAAGAGGTGATGGCCTCAAGTTGAGCCAGCAGAGTTTCAGGCCAGATATTAGGAAAAAATTATTTCTCTGAAAAAGTGATGAGGCTCTAGAACAGGATGCCCAGGGAGGTGATGGAGTCACTGTCCCTAGAGGTATTGAAAAACCAACCATTTGGATGTGGCACTGAGGGACATGGTTAGTGGGCCTGGTGGGAACTGGCTGATAGCTGGACTAAATGGTCTTAGTGGTCTTCTCTAGCCTTAATGATTCTATGATTCTGTACCCTGTGCTCTTTGCATTTAGTTAGGCTTTGAGCTCTGGGGAGTACTCTGCCCTGCGTTGTAGTGCAGCGTGGTGCTGAGCCCTGATGCCATGCTCTGCAGTGACTGCCCTGGTCCCAGTCACTCAGTTCTGGTCTCAGAGTCAGGCTGGGCCAAATGACCTTGAGGTGCCCCTTGCAACCTGGCTTATTCCAGGATTCTGTGGTCTTTTGTAGCTCAGCCTGTAAGGAAGAAATGCCCAGTTTCCCTTCTTTACCCGTACCCCATGTGCTGAACTACTGATATCCTCTTCCTTCATATCCAGATTCTTAAATATTCACTGCAAGGCCTTGCACATACACTCAGTGCCATGCTTCATGCAGAAAACATGAGCAGGAACATGTAGTGTTTTATAGCATATAAAAGAAGACACATGCACAGAGTGCCTCTTTTCTGTGCAAGCAGGAATTCATTGGCAAAAAGGAGCAGAGGGAAATGAGAGGTGCTCTCTTGCTCCTCTGATAAGTCTGCGTACTCGCTCTGGGGACAGATGATTCCTGAAGCACCCATGTGTAGCCCATGCACAGGGTCACTCGGCCAAAATATCTCTGGGGTTGACTCAGTCCTCACCAGCTGCTGTGAAAAAGTGCTCTGCAGCAGAGGAAGGAGGTCCTCCTGTAACTAGAGCTGGGCTGGAATCAGGATCGGGGTGCGAAAACTACAGATGTAAATCTGAACTTTACCTGCCTGGATCCCATTTCTAATTCTAATGCTGTATTCGCTGCTTACTCATTTGCGAGATTATTAATTTTTTTTTTTTTTTTTTTTTTTTGCAACAGTGATTTAGCAGGCTGAAAGGAAAAACATTGAAACTACTGTAAAGTTAGTAGGTCAGGGAAACTTGAGGATTGAACGCAGGGGCCTAGTTTATTGCACTCCTGACAGAAACTCTACTGTTTGTACAGGAGTGCTCTTCAGCGGCATAAAAGGCTGCAAGTTAATTGTAACTACTGTTTTTCCCTCCATTTCTTGATAAAGGCAACCGCCTCAGGTCACATAAATCAAAGCTAGAAGTGAACAGTGATTAGCTGTGGAATAGTACTTATTAGTACTTAATAGTACTTAATAGTACTTAATAGTACAAAGAACATACAACACTATTTGTTATACTGGTGAATCATCTCAGCTGTCAACACTAATTGGATAAATGCAAAATGTGAGTGAAAAGGATATTCTATATATAAGAGCGTAGTCCCTTTAAATTCTTGTAGTTAAACATGGTAAGTGTTTTAGGTTACAGCTTGTAAAGATCCAGATTAATCTGGTGACAGATTCTTATCAGACATCTATTTCAGTGTCTCCATTACCTCAGAATCCAAAAACAAACTGTGTTCGGAGCTTCCTTCCTCACTCCCCAAGCTGCAGGGCTTTCCTAAATGGACGTAATCATGAAAACTATTTATTTTAATAGGGTAATAAATAGTGTTGACTGTTGTGTTTTGTCTTTGATGCAGACCCAACAGCCGTAATGCTTTGGACAGTGAGCTGCAGCTGTGAGACCCTGAAACAACCGTGTGTCTGAACGGGGCTGTTTTGCAGCCTGCCCATTGCTTTCTTGCTAAATTGCCTTTACTGCCCCTGCACTTGTCCCAGTGCCATCTATACTGTGTGTGCAGTTGATTGAAGGTAGCCGGGACTTGTTACACCTGTGCAGTTAAGCTGTGCCTTCACGGGAGGGCTATCATTGGCCGTGATATAACCTGACATGTTTGTAGTCCTATCATTACAGTCTCTGGCTTGACAAGAGCTGATATGCCAATGATGGAGTTCTGGAGGGTTAAAATGATAAGGAGATATGATACCCTTCTACACATGTACTTTAGAAGTTGCTGAACAGAAGAGCCCAGGAATATTTCCCAGGCTTGCATATATGTCCTGGATGGATCATCATTACATGTCAGGACAAAATCCATGTATAGCCAAGATCCTTTCCCACTTTCTTCCTGAGATGTATGAGCATATATATATATTTGGGATCTATGGTGGAATCTATTTTGAGATCTTTTTGGAGCTATTGGTCATTCTGAGATTCCGCTTTCTGCTTTGCAAAAAAGTTTTTCATGGAATCGTTGAAAGTTGGAATGGACTTCTAAAGTTCACCTAATCCAACTCTTCTGCAATGAACAAGGACACCTAGACCTCAGTCAGGTTGCTCAGAGCTCCATCCATCCTCATCTTGAGTGTCTCCTGGGATGGGGCATCCACCACCTCTCTGGGCAACCTGTGCCAGTGCCTCACCACAGAATCACATAACCACAGAATGGCCTAGGTTGAAAGGTACCTCAGGGATCATGAATCTCCAACCCCCTCCTGCTACAGTCAGGGCCACCAGCCTCCACATTTAACACTAGACCAGGCTGCCCAGAGCACCATCCTACCTGGCCTTGAACACCTCCAGGGAGGGGCATCCACAACCCCTCTGAGAGCCTGTTTCAGCACCTCACCACTCTCATAGTAAAGAACTTCCCCCTGACATCCAACCTAAATCTTCCCTCCTTCAGTGTAAAACCATTTCCCCTTGTCCTGCCGTTATCTACTCTTCCAAAGAGTTGATTCCCCTCCTGTTTGTAGGCTCCCTTCAGATACTGAAAGGCTGCAATGAGGTCACCCTGCAGCCTTCTTTTCTTCAGGCTGACCAAGACCAGCTCCCTCAGCTTGTCTTCATAGGGGAGGTGCTCCAGCCCTCTGATCATCTTTGTGGCCCTGCTCTGAACTCTCTGATTAGAGAAATTATGCTTACTAACACAGGCCTAGAGAATGGACATACAGGCATAGCAAGCCCTATCTGTTCTTTCACTTATCAGCTGAGATCCCCATGAAATGGGGTGGGCAAACTACTGATGGGAAGGAAGTGCAATCCTGCCCCAGGGCTTACAGTTGCCATCCTGTCTGTTAGTATCTGAATAATGTCTTTCTGATGTCCTTCAGCAGCAATAAGTAGCAATTCCTGTTTTCCAGGGCTTCCCTGGCTCTCCTCAGCTCTGCCTTTCTCTAAGTGCATAGTTTGAGTGACCCCTGAACATCGCATGTGGATTTGGAAGGTGGCAAAACTCTCCATACACTTATGTGTTCTCAGAAAACTTCCTACCATGGAAAAAAAAAATATCACATGCCCAAAACAGGGTGTTCACTAAGTCTATAATTTCGAGATTTGTTGGTAATGGAATAAGTCATACTTTATATCTTAAAGAGGAGTATGGAAAAGTGAAAAGCCAATGAAATAGAGGATTGTGTTTCCCTTTCAGGATTACAGCTTGTGCCATGACCATGAATAAATATGTGGAGGAAAATGTTTCCCAAAAATCCTATACAACAATAAAATATTTCATGAAGATGTTAAGCAGCGTCAGTGAGACCCTGATCTTCATTTTCATGGGAGTGTCTACAGTTGGAAAGAACCATGAGTGGAACTGGGCCTTCGTTAGCTTCACTCTCCTGTTCTGTCTAATCTGGAGGGCACTGGGTAAGCAAGTCTCAGACCATTTGTCATGTTATTTACAAGTGATACTTCCTACCTTTCTTCCAACAGAAAATGACAATATTTAGAGAGCCCATTATCTTGTTTGTAATATATCCCAGATCTCAGGGTTAGCTTCCATCTTGCCCCAAAATGAAATCCAGAAATTATTTTGATCTTGATCCTGCCCATCTGAAGGCAGAGGCAACCAAGTTTGTTAATCTGAGTGAATGTATCTAATTACTAATTTCTTTACAAACAAACACTTTTCTTAAAAAAAATATGCTATTCTGCACAAACTTTATGCTGAAAAATACCCTGACTGCCCTTCAACTCCTGGCACCTAGGCTTGCTCCCTTATGCCCTGCCCTTATGCCTTTCTCCAGCCTGTGCCTTTGGTACACCACCATGCACTGATATCTTCTTGCTCCATCCCCAGTCCTCCATCTTTCCTGTCTATGGAAATAAAGTTAAGTGACTGAGTAGGATTTTGAAGAGTTCAAAGCACAGATTGTTGGAGCCAAAGTCTTCCAATGTAACTTAAGTCTGATTAAAAAAAGTAGTTTAGGATTCTGGTGCATGCTGAAACATGAATTACTACAGCATTAAAAGTGGCTCGTGGATGTCAGTTAGATGTTTCAGGTCCTAAATCCAGCTGGCCTGAGGTCACTAAATATGATTAAGAATTTAAAATCTTTCTTTGGTGGTGTTTTCAAGCTGCTATGTAACATTTTATTCCTTCGATAACATGCAAGTAAGAAGCAGGTGCAGGTGTTTTAGAACAAGTACTGGCATTGTGGGGGATTTCAATGTGATTTTGATTTCCTTTTTTCTCTTTCTTGTATTTTCTTTTTTTTTTTTTTTCTCAGGTGTTTTTGTTCTGACTCAGATCATTAACGTGTTCCGGACAATACCTCTCACTTTTAAGGACCAATTTATTATTGCCTATGGAGGCCTTCGAGGAGCTATTTGCTTTTCACTTGTATTTCTGCTTCCTCCTTCTGTGTTCCCCAGGAAGAAATTGTTCATCACTGCTGTTATTGTGGTGATATTTTTTACTGTTTTTATTCAGGTAATGCCTTTCTTCTTCTGGACCTTTTCTTTCTCAGGCAAGGTGTAAATAAGCTGTGGGTAGAAAAATAGATGTCCTAAATTACTGGAAGGAATGTACTTGAAGTAACATACTTCTGTATTGCTCCATGGTCATACTTTAGAAAAAAAAAAAAAAAAAGACAGATAGCAAAACTATGTCAGATATTAAGTACTTAGGTGAATATTTAGGTAGTATTAAGCATTTAGGACCCAGTGAGGTTGGAGTAGAGATTAAAGATAATCTGGGTAAAGCCCCAGTACTAATTCCTTGTTAGAATATTTAAGTTTATGTTTACTAAGGAGCTGGGTATTGGGTGCAGAGAAGAGTGGAAAGAAGAATGGAAAGCATTTAAGGACACTGCAAAGTGAACTGCAACATTTTAATCTGGGTGTTAAGCAGTAATATTGAATATCAGCTGAACGTCTATTCAAAAGCACTACTGATGTGGAAGAATGTGAAGAACATATCTCTGGTATCACAGTTGTCATGGAGAACTGGTCTGAATGGACAGGAGGAATGAGAAGAAGGAAGTGAACACTGACTTCAAAGGATAGAATACTTTAAACATGTGGATGTATCGGGAATGCATTGGGGTTTACTAAAGAGAAACCTGATATCATTCTTTGATAAAGAAATTTGAGAGTGATCTCATAAAACTAGATTATTGTAAAAGTTTCCTTTTTTTTTTTTTTGGCTTTCAGGTGATTGCAAACTGAATGAGGAAGTGAGGAAGGAGCTAGCAATTTCTCCTATAAAGGGAAATAGACACATAGGAGCTTTGGGTCTGAAGGTGTCTAGTGCAACCTCATGCCCAGAACAAGGCTATCTGCAAAACAAGATTGACTTACTCAGGGAGATGGCCAGTTTTATTAAGTATCTCCATGAATGGAGATTCCCCAGCCTCTCTCGGCAGCTGCTTCAGTGTTCAAGCACCCTGATGAAATAATAGGCTGATGAGTTGTTGTTGACAGAATTCCTCAAAAGGTGATTCCAGGGGATGGTTTTGTTTAATATCGTTGTTACTGACCATAACATAGGAGTTTTTTGGTGCTGATGTTTCTTAATGACGGACCTTGGAAGGTGACAACATAACAGGGTATTAACTAGAAAGAAGAGTGTAAATGGGGACCAATATGATGGAAATAGAATGAACTTGAACAGCAGCATGTGCAAATGTTCTTTCTAGGTCATTCTTAACTATAGATTTCACTTTAATAAATAAATGGGCACTTTTCATTTGGAAAAAGAATAAGAAGGAAAAAAGACACAGGTGTATTGGTTGATAATGTGCTGGAGCTTATGCCACCAATGCAATCCAGGCATAAGAAAGATGTACTGAAACAGGTGTTTCCAGCAGAGAACAGAGTTGTGTTCTAGAGTAATCACATGGGACTTGTTGTGTGAAAGAAGACCAGAATGTCTCGGTCTTGGCAAAATGAAGAAGAAGTGGGAATGTAATTACTGCTTATATCAGGGAGTGAACATCAGGGAAGGAGGAGCACTGTTTAAGCTAAAAACACAATGTTGGCAGAAGAACAAAGTGGTACAAAGTGACCATGGTGTAATTAAGAGGCAGCTTTCTAATTATCAGAACAATGAGGTTCAGGAGGAGTGTTCCATGTGAGCAATGGGGCAAAGAAACCTAACTATTTTTGAGATAAAGCTTAATTCATTTATGAAAACAAGTACGTGGCATGATTGTCTTGGATAGTGGCGACTGATCTCAACGCAATGAGATTTCTCTCCTCTGTCGGTACGCCTGTACAAATAAACAGTGATGTCAATTCTTCCACAAATAATTGTTCAAAAATCATTATATCATTCTGGGGCAGCCAAAACTTTTGTTCTTTCTCTGAGAACTGTATAGTATGGACACGTATTTACCAAAAGTCTTTATGTACTGGGTCTGGTCTGTGCTACTGTTGAGACTACCTGAAGGTTAATCAACACAAATCCCATTAGCATTATGTCATTTACCCATCTTGGGCCTCTCTGTTCTAGACAGTGGGACTTTCTTTTCTTCTGTTGTATCAGTGGAGTCTGTGTGTTGACAAGGACTTCGCAACTGTGTGCAACACCTTGCTTATTACGAGAGTGAATTTGTTGTTAGGATTGTCAGACTGGATTTTTGGGAGCTGAAAGAAACATTTTAGGAGCTAAAATGTTATCCACTACCATTTTCACTGCTCTGACAGAGATGGAGAAGATTGAAAGGCTTTATTCTTCCTTAATATTTATGGAAAAACACAGAAAGATTTGCTTTTTTCTTCACAGGGAATAACAATTCGTCCGCTGGTCGAGTTTCTTGATGTCAAAAGGTCAAATAAAAAGCAGCCTGCTGTCAGTGAAGAAATTTATAACAGGGTATGTTGTAGCATCACTGTCACAGATGAAACCTTCATAGAGTTGAAATTCCCAATGGCTTTCAATATGATAAGGATTTAATGCGCAGCACTACAGAGAAACGTGCATTCTTTAAGATTTCTTTTCTATAGCTGTTTTAAGCAAAACAACTGCAAAGTTTATATTGAACTCTTGATAATTATCAAAATTATCATTATTAGGTATTTTTAATTTGAGATCTTCACTTGGTTTTGCTCACTTGTTGAAGTAAATTGTCTTTTTGTAATTTGTTTCACATAGGAGATCTGTGTTATTTTAGAACTTGAGTACATTAAGAAACCTTTGGCAATTTAATTACATTATATTGTAGTTGAGCTAGTCTAATTAAACACATGTGAAGTCCTCCTAAAGATGCATTTAAATTTCCTGAACTCTCACATCATCAATGTCTTAATAGATTAGTGTTTTGAACGCGTGTCTCTAATGCTGGTGGTTCATTAGCTGTGTGTTTTCTTGAATGTAATTATCCTTGCAGCAAATCAGCTGCAAAAACCCTGTGATTTTAAATTCCAAAAATGAGGAATAATAAGGGTCACATCTAGTAGAGAACTGAATATAGGCACCCAAAAAGTCAGTAATTTCTGAGCTTACCCTTTCGATATATCTAGCAGGATTTCCCCCTGAAATTTAGAGATTCCTACTATAGTACTTAAATCAAGAGCACAGTTGGCGGTGAGGTGCTGTGGGTATCCAGTGAGATCTTAGCTGAATTGATTTACTCTTTTGTAACTGGTAAAAAACTGAGGAAGAATGTGGTTCTAATACTGGTTTCTCAGGACACTTTGAGGTGAGGCTGGACCCTGAAACAGGAGCTCAGGATGTTGGCTATGGCAGATCTGTCCTGTGCATCCAGAAGGGGCAGTGCTGGCTGCCCACTTGGACTGTCTTCTCCACAAAGTCACACCTGACTCACTGTCAAACCTGGGGAAGTCCCTGGAGAAGTTCCAGGCTTAGCTCCAAGTGACTGGGGAACTTGAAAGAAATGAAAATATGGCAAAAACAACTTAACTCCAAATTTAGGCAGGAGCTCAGCAAGTTTGGCATTGTGGAGATTGGCTTCTGTCCTTCTGAGTCTATGAGCTCCAGGAAAGAGCAGAAACCAGGTGCCTCCCTGGGCATGTGTGTGAGGGCAAAATCTGTAAGCCAGGCCCATGCTTGTTTGCTTAGACTGCATTTATTTAAGCATCGTCCTGAACTCTGCCTTTGTTTTTCTGTTTTGAAGTAAGTTGAAAATTAATAAAGTCTAATGGTAAGCCAAGTTTTATCCATACGTTTATGTAATGAATCAACATTTCTTATTTAGTTCTTCGATCACGTGAAGACAGGAATTGAAGATGTGTGTGGACACTGGGGTCACAACTTCTGGAGAGATAAGTAAGAACAGCATTTAAAACTCTTTCTTTGTTATACAGGGAAGAATGAATTGGCTCTGCAGCAACAAACGAAAGCTGCTGGGCATCAGATTTCGTTTTCAGCGTTTTATTCTTGAACGCACATGGTTGTTTTTAGAACGCGTGGGTTACAAAGAGAGAGTGGTAAAACAATGTCTTTTTAACTAAACCACAAGTACAAAATTTCTAGCTGGGAAAAAGCACAGCCCTCTGATCCCAGGGTAAGGTTATTCTACCTTCTGAGGGTGTGGGTAATCTCACTGTTTCTGACAGTTTCAGAGCATTTCCTGCATGTCTGCTGAGCTTTTGATCCTGAGCTGGCTTTTCTGCTGCAAACTATCTATCTCCGTGGTGTTAAGTGAGGGGTTAGTTCCCTAGCTGGTGAGAAAGAAGCAAAAGCTCTGGGACTTCCGCTAGGAAGATCAAGGCACTGGCTGGAATGAGGTGCATGAGGGATCCTAATGGCAGGCAGCTCCACAGTTCCTGATGGTATTATTTAAGACTCAGCATCAGTTAAGAGGATTACCAGTGGCTGTACCTGAATTATTTATGTGTGCAGTTGAGCTGCTGAATCATCATCATTGTTTGTTTGGATCTAACTCCCTTTTCTCAGAAGCACATTCTTTTTCACCCAAATCTTTCAGACACAAAGCAAGGGCATTGCTCACCCACCTTCTGGTCATTGCTCTGACAAGAATTTAAGCATTTTATACAGAGAAGAACAGCATCGGCAGCAGAGGCTGAGGATCCATCTCCAGATGACTTGAGGGCATGGCTGAAGATGCTGCCCTGACAGATGGATGACATGACTACAGCTTTTCTTAGCTTGGTTCTCCTCCAGTTTGTGTGAGATCTTTAACCAACAGATTACAGACTGAAGGAGAGTACCACCTCTTCGTGACCTTCCGAAACATTTTTGACTGAATTTCAAGAATAATTTCAGAATGACTGGAGTGCAGGATATTTTCTGACAAACAAAGTCACTCTGCTCCAATCAATATTTTTTCTCTAAGCATCCAAGAGGGCTGAAGTTGCTCTAAAGAAAAGGAGAACTTCCAAAATTTTACAAGGGCAGGCTAAAGTTTCAAAGAAAAAGCAGTGGGTGCAAACGTAGACATTTTATTTGTTATTACAGTAAATATTTAATGTTCTCTTTGTCTCCATGAAAATGGAGAATTAGAAATAATATTGTGCAATAACACAGAGTACATAGAAGCTAAAAGTTGCTGCTAGGGACACTGTGCTTTAACAGATTAACCAAAACATAGGTTAAGACTATCTGAAGCAGGGATGAATTTGACCTTTTATTATGATACCCAGCAGTAAGTTACAAACACGAACAGACACATTCCCGAGGAATAAACTCCTTCATGATTGCTTTAGCAACAGTCTAGAAACACTCCTCAGCTCTGCCCAGTAAAAATTAACTGGTTGGGTTGGTTTGCCTCATGCACAGGTTTAAAAAGTTTGACAATAAATACCTGCGAAGACTTCTCATCCGGGAGAACCAGCCCAAATCCAGCATTGTTTCTTTGTACAAGAAGCTGGAAATAAAACATGCCATCGAGATGGCAGAGAGTGGCATGATAAGCAAGGTGCCTTCGTCAGTGTCTCTCAGGTAAGGCAGCGAGGCCTACGCGACTCAGTGTTACAGCAGGGCCACATCGTGTACTTCACAGTCTGGTCTGTAGGCAGGATAATTGCTTTGACTTAGGACATTCTGTGACCTAACATCACATGAACAGTAACCAGACGTGGAACTGGATCATTTCGCAGCAGCTCACATACAAAGCATGAGTGAGCCTTGCTCTTCCGGAGCGTGTAGTTTTACAGGGGCAGCTGCACCCAGCTTCCAGGGAACATTGCTGTGCTATGTGGGGCTGAGCTGGGTTTGATCCAATGCCTCCACATCTGCTGCCAGGAGCTACAGGGGAGGCCTGAGGGATGTTGTGAAAAGTGCCTTAGTCGAATTTACAGCTCTGTGCAATCGATACAGATTTCGGTTTTGACCCTTACCACTTGAGTCAAATGAGATCAAGGTTTTGTTCTCACCCACTATATTTTCACCTCTTCCTCAGTTGTTTTAGAATGCTGTATCCAATACAAAGGAAACAGTTAAAATGTAGTTTCTAATCATAAAAACAAAAATATTCTCTCTTTCTCATTTTTTTGTGTATCTTCCTGGGTCTTATTCTTCCACAGTGAATATCATGAAGGGAAAATAAAGCCACTCTCTCCCACTGAGATGGAAAACATGAGGGAAATACTAACAAAGAATCTCTACCAAATACGTCATCGAGTAAGAATAAAGTTTTGCATACGTAAATATCTCTCTACTCTTTGACCATATTTCTTACCTTTATTAAATATCTTTGGGCAAGTGTAGTATCTACTGTACAATATGTATCATTTAATGCTGTTATTTACTTATATTGCCTATCAATAATTGTCTATTATTATAACATTTTCAGCAACATATGCATACTCCTTTATGTAAACAGCTTATTTCATTTTATACTGTTGATAAAGCTTAATGTTTCTGGCATATTACCTGCAGTATACTTCCATTACTTAAAAAGGACCATAGGTGCAAATTCAACCCACCCTTGTCCCACTTCTATTAAGTATTTTCTTCACTTTACAATATGCGATTAAATTTCTCATTTGCCTCCAGTTGTGAAGTTGCTTGTATTAAGAGCAGAGGTGATGAGCTGGAAAAATAGTGAAATAAAAGCAAAAGGACATTTCACAAATACCATCCTGTGGCTAAGTAGTTTGAATGTCTGTGCCCTTGGAAGACGTTCAAAAGTTGAGCTTGCTTCAGCTTGCTGGAGGTAAAAATGACTTCCCCCTAGGTGACTCACCCTATCACTTTCAAATGTGCATCCTCCATTGACATATTGACTGAGCAAGTACAATGTGGGGGTAAGCACTGTATTAAGCCAGCTTTTTCCAACTGCTCTTTCATTACAAATATTGGCAGGCTTAAAAAACAGACAGGTGCTCATGAAGCCTCTGACTAAAAAAAATCTGGCGTAATTATTGCCCTTGTTCTTAATTGTCTTTAATGTGACTTTATTTGCAAGAATTTATGGTGATTATTAAAATAACAAAGCAAAAAGGCCTGTTCTGTATTGTGCATAGAGATCAACACACTTGTGCTTTTCAGAAAGTAACCACAGCTTTTCTATTTCAGACCATGTCATATAACCGACATAGCCTGGCTGCAGATGCAAATGAGAAGCAGGCCAAAGAGATTCTGATCCGTCGCCGACACAGCTTTAGGGAGAGCCTACGGAAAACTAACAGCCTGTCAAGAGAAAGACCGGTACTTGCCCTTTAGTTGATTTATAGAAAACAGTTCTCCATAGCTATATGCCATGCAGAAAAAATCTTCTGAAACGCAGGAAAAATAAATCCCCAACTTGAAAGACAGCTGCAAGTATAATTTCGCACTTACACCCTGAGATGCACACATAGGCCCCTTAGTTTACAATGAACCCTTCTGAAAAGCTTCCGTATTGTAGAATGTAATATGGAGGTGGGATCTGCTGCCATGATTTTATCTCAGAGGAACTGAGAAGGCTTCATACCCAATGTACCTTTATGGCATGGTGAGAATTCTTTATCAGTATTTTGATGAAGAGTCGATGACTGAGGTAGAGTATGGCTTTGAGATAGACAAATTCCTTACAGTATGCTTCAAAATGTGGGAAGGAGGAGAGCTTCTGGTCACACCAAAAAATGTGAACACTTCATTTGAAAAATGCTGTGGGCTCCTTAGGATTCTTAAAAAGCGGACAGGGCTTCAGGTTTTGACACAGCATAGGAAAACCCCTACAATATGCAAGAAATGGTGTGTCATGGTGACATTTGACTTTCTGAAGCAGTCCTTTTATATCAGACCATTTCTGAAAAGAGCACACTGATTAGACAGTTAATCTGATGCCCCCCTTTTAAGTCTGAAGGAAATTAATCCCTCTATAAATATGCATTTCAAGTCGCAGGAACACTTAGTGACTACTACCTTCACTGATGCAGTTGTCCTTTAGCTACTGAGGCTGCTGCTGCTGATGTCTACAATAAGTGTTATATCTCATTTGTGACCATTACCTGGGTTACCGGTGGCTTTAGTTATAACAATAAGTCTGTTTCTGAATGATTTTTTTCCTTCTCAACCACAGTTACTTATATTGATTTCTTTAGGGGGAGTAATGAAGAGACTTGGCAGGAGTAAGGCATTTTTGGGTCTGAGAGAGAGATGGTGTATGTCAGCTTTTTCAAACTCACAGACTGTAATTTTTAAAATAATTGTCCTTGAGTAAATGATCATCCAGTTTCAACCCCCCTGCTATGTGCAGGGTCGCCAACCACCAGACCAGGCTGCCCAGAGCCACATCCAGCCTGCCCTTCAATGCCTCCAGGGATGGGGCATCCACAGCCTCCTTGGGCAACCTGTTCCAGTGCGTCACCACCCTCTGTGTGAAAAACTTCCTCCTAATATCTAACCTAAACCTCCCCTGTCTCAGTTTAAGACTGTTTCCCCTTGTCCTATCACGATCTACCCTCGTAAACAGCCATTCCCCTTCCTGTTTATATGCTCCCTTAGATTACTGGAAGGCTGCAATGAGATCTCCCTGGAACCTTCTCTTCTCCAAGCTAAACAATCCCAGCTCCTTCAACCTTTCCTTGTAGGAGAGGTGCTCCAGCCCTTTGATCATCATTAAGAAATTTCTGAATTTTTAAGAATGGTCCTGCCCTAGAAAGAACCTCATATGCTCCAGGAAGCATGAGGTGCACTCTGCACCTAGGGACTGCAGAGTTTAAACTTGGGAAAACAAGGCTTCTGTGCCCTGTGCTGGTAAACAGTCACACTGGTGCCCAGCTTCCCCATCATCCTGAGCGTGACTAATAAACTGTGTAAAGTCATTTGTATGTATAAAACATTTGCAGGGGTAGAATACAGATTAGCTTTTGTGCCCGAGCATCAGTGTCAGTCTAATTTTTGCAGCTGAGTAATAAAGTTCCAAAACAGAACTGCACAAAATGAAGCTATGTTTGCCTTCCACTGAAAAACCTGTAGAGGTAAGGCTGGAGTCTGAGAGCATACATTTATTAACTCTGATCTCAGAGGGCATAGCACTAGGTTTTGCTTTGATTGAACTGCTTGAGATTACTCAGTCCTTACCTTAGTTAGCAAAGACCTCAACCAGCAGTAAGTGTTAACTTGAGTGTGTAATAAAAGATCACATATTAGCTAATCCCAAACTACTTGCGAGCCCTTGAGCTATCTAAGTCTATTCAAGCCTCAGCTGTGTATCTCAACATGCATTATGCAAGTACTTCAGTCTGCGGTGTCTTAATGATTATGTTATTCTTTGCACAGGCTGCTGCAAATACAAAAAGATTTCTTTCACTTCCTAAAAACACTAAACTCCCAGAGAAACTACGTGTGAGAAACAAAACGTCTTCCAGAGGTAATGGAAAATTTTCTGCCCCCTTGCGTGCTGCACTCATCTTGCATACATAGAAGGAAGGTTTTTCCAGGGATGATGTACAGAAATTAGTATATTGATTTTCTAAAAGATATGAACTATTTTATCTGCAAGGGCTAGAATATTTCTAGCACTTGTACTAAAACAGGCATTTTACTCTGAAGAAATGCCCCAACAAGCAGCCTAAAACAATTTGCAACAGAATTGCTGATTCTTTGTGTCTTTATTGGGTAATATCCAAATCTACCTCTTCGATTAGGACCCTATGTCCTATGTGGTTTCTTTTCTCACTGAGGTCAGAGTAGGCAGTGCCCTGAGAACCAAAGCAGTGAAGAAAATGAGGATGTAATGAGTGATATATAGATCTCATGAAGAACTTTTCAAAATTCTGTGCTTAACAGCCTAAATGTCTATTTTTTAATGTCTAATCTCATTAATGTTTCATTTTGGAGTTCTTGAATTATAAAATTAAAAAAAATAAAAATAAAAAAATCCAGAGGAATGCAACTATCTGATGTGAAATGTTTGGTTAGTTTTGTACATTACTTTTGTTACCATTTGCATGACCACGCTTATGCCATGAACGGGAACGGTCTCTTGGTGGGATTAAATCTCTACACACTCACTAAAATTCCCTGACCACACCCCAGACCAATTAATTTCCCACTCTTCTAAATTAATTTAGCAATAGACCATGTCTTTGTTGCTAATTACATCTTTGCTCTCCTGAGTGCAGGATGTCTTTTATTCTGTAGTTATGTCTACAGAGGTCACCTACTGTCACCTAGCTTTAAATATTAAAGAGGAAATGTGCCTCCAGATTATTCAATTGTCAAAAAAATACACAGTTTGACATATCTAGGAGGAAAAAAGCCTGCAAACATAATCTGATGAAGACCTTCCTTGATATAAAATTATCTGGGTGAGTGGATAACTATGTGATGATATGTTTTGTTGACCTCTTTCTCACCTTTTAAAAAGAAATAATATGCAGGCTACTAATGGAAGTTGTGCTTATGACAATTGCACAACGTGCTATTCTTTGCTTTGATTTATTTGAAATACCATATCTGACTTAAATCTGAGAACAAATTTGAGTCATTAATAAATAATCCTTAACATGATTATCGAGTGACTGAAACGTGCCAGTTTTGTTGGAGATATTGGTCAGTTAAAAAGAAGGGAAAGGTTCTTCACTGAGTGGGTAGTCGGGCACTGGAAGAGGGCAGTGGTCACAGCTCCAAGCTGCCTGAGTTCAAAAAGTATTTGGACACTGCTCTTGGACACTGCTCTCAGATATAGGATTTGAATTTTGGGTGGTCCTGTGTGGAACCAGGATTTGGACTCCATGATCCTCGTGGACCCCTTCCAACTTGGGATATTCTGTGCTTCTAAGTCTGCTGCAAAAACATATTGCACATCTAAGCAGCCTGATTGTTCCCAGCTTAGTTTACCTGATAATGATCACTGCATTCCTTAAATGATTATGCCAGCTTTCCCTTGGCCATTTTCTACTCTGCTGCAAGTGGGTGAAGGAGTCTGTGACAAGCTGAGATTTGCACGGTGGTTGTCCTTTGATATTGTACATTCAGGCATCTTAAGGATGGGATGTTTCCTTTCATCTGGTCAATTGCCCTCCTTTGTTTGGTGAAGCATTGATGCTTCTTTTCCAAACCCAGTTTCTAAAGTCCCAGTAGATGCAGTGCCCTGGAAGTGCCTCAGATTAGGCTTGTTATGTGAGGATGAAAAAATATCATTTCTTTGTCTTGCTTGGGCACCACTAAGGACTAGACCCCAAGTGGCTCAGGGTCAGGTGTATTCCATTTATTCCATGTCCTGACAGATCTGAAAAGCTTGGGGAAATGTCAGCTTAAAAAGAATAGCACCTTTTGACAGTGGGAGATTTCTAAATGTCACTGTTTTGAGGAGAGGGATGTTTGTAAGTCAAATCTTAAAGTGTTTGATGCTGGGCCTAATCTCAAAGCAGTGAATTTAAGAAATACAGTTAACCTTTTTACTATGGCTGTTGCTGCTCAGTGTGCTATTGTATGAATATTCCTGAAACAGAAACATTTCACAGCTAAAATCTTTATTTTGTTTTCAATTAACAGTGGGTGACAGCAGTGACTCTGAAATGGATGCCACTACCACAGTGCTCAATTTAAGACCCAGAGCAGGAAAAATCTTGAGAGAGCAGAGACTGAGACAGCAGCGGCCACCCTCTGAGTTTAGCATGGAGTGGAAGAACGAAGTTGATGGGAGCCAGAATGGACAAGGAGAGCAGCAGGAGCCAGGCAGCCTGCCTCAGCCATCCATTGGGTTCAGGCAGCCGCTGCTGACAAGACCAAGATTTGGCACTTTGAGCAGGGAAGATTTGACTGCAGACCATGGGTTGGCAAGACCTGTGCCACCACCACGATTAGTTAGGCAGGCATCACAAGGGGAAAGGCAGAGAAGTAAGCCTGAGAACCAGCCGTACTGAACATAGCAAAGATTGAACTGTTGGTATCAAACCGTGGATGTACCAAATTCAGATTCTAAACTATCTGATCAGACAACGGGATCCATTAAAGAGAAGACAAACTTCAGTGTGGATCTAAGCATTTCCATTTGGGTAAAGCCAATGCCATTAACTAAGTGCAAGGAATACTGCAGCAATTGCAAAACTGAAGACATAAAAAAAATCTATTTTATAGATAACTTATGGCAATGCTTTGATTACGTTATTTCCACTATTAAATAGGATGGAAATGTGCCTTATCACATCATCTCGTGGAACCAAATCTTGCAGGCTCAATACCCAGCTATCCAGTGAAAATCACTGTTGAAAGTCCAGTGATGAAGGGATTCTTTACAGAAATCTGTATCATTTCAGATTTTATTTATGATCAAATGATACTTGTTTTGACCAGAGCATTAGTATGAGTAACACTGAAAATTGCACAATGCACCTATCATATAGACTTTGTAAGAAGCATAAACATATTCCTGAAGCCCAGTTTGTTTGAAGAGCCATGATGTGGAAAACAGGAAGAAGAGAAGGAACAAGCTGTAAGAGGAGAATTGCATGTGCAGTTCATAGAAGTTGCAACAAAGACAAGACCTGAATAGCTTGAATTTTTAGTTTCTGAATTTTTGCCAATATGTAGCTTTTAAAATGGTACTGAAAATCACCAAGGGAAATCTAAATGACCTTGATTGTCACTAATGTCAGAAGAGCTGAGGGTACCTAAAGGAATAGCAGAAGCCCTAAAAATAGAAAACTTCAAGTAGATAACTAGTGCTCCTGTACAAGATTGCTTTTTGCACCTTAGCATCTTTGCAGTGCAAACATGGCAGTAGAATAGTTGTGAAGCACTGCACATAGAAAAGTGAGCAGTGTCCTGTTTGAGTCAGGGACCACTGAGACCCAAGAAAGCTCCTTCCCTCATGCTTGTGATCCTAGTGAAACTATTTTCTTTTTATTTCTTCATCTATAAAAGGGGAAGGATATCTTTTCTTTCTCTCCCACTGATTTGTACAGAAAAGTAGCACTCCAGGTGCTCTGGAATCAGTTGCAGTCACTGTGCACCTTAATAACACTCATAAGAAACGCAGACTTTCTTCATCCCAGCGTAAATGGCAGTCACTTAAGAACACATGGGTAGGAAGGATGCATTAAAATAAACTTAATAGGTCTCAGGAATTTGCACTTTCTGTCCCACTTTATCCTAAGTTTTGAGCTTGCTTCAGCACAGATACACATTTCAGCACAATGCAAAAATCATTTTAATTCTTGTTACAAGATTCATAACTTTCATTTAAGAATGTACACTGTGAAATCATAAACTCTTCTTTTTCGTTAGCACATTTCTAAATCTGTGGGCAATAAGATTCACTTTTTTATTTAAGCTTGTTTTGAAAGAACTATTAAAAATCAGAATTTGCTTTTAATATCACAGGATAGATTTCTTTGAAAAAATTTGTGGGCTGGGATGGTAAATGAGCTTAAAAAGGGATAATGACTTAACTTCACAGCTTTTCCAACATATTCATTTCATGTATGTATTTGAAACGCCAAACTTGCTTAATGTCTTTTATTGGCTCATGTCTTTTAATTGTTTTACTGTGTTCCAAGTATGTAATTTCCGCCAAATGCAAACTTTAAGCTGTGGAGAGATGGCTAGGTCAATCCTAGGAATCTTGGTCAGATGTTCATGGCTATTCTCAAAAAAATTTTGTGGAAAGCATTTCTTATCTACCCTTTAATCGTCACCTCCTGTTTGGGAATAAAACTGGACTGAAACAAAGCCAATAAGCTTTAAAATCAAATGTGATTGTCTTTCTACATGGAAAATATGTTTCAGCTGTAAAGCTGTCAGCAAGTACTTTGTCACTGTGTTACTGACAGAATGATTGAATAAGAAAGAGGCCTTGAATTTGGATTTTATTACTGAAACTTCTTTGCAGATTGGACTGTTTAGGTTAGGTGTTTTATAGCAGACACACCTGAAATCTGACCAAATAAACACAAAATGTTGCACATCAACCTTCAGTTAGTTCCCTGCAGAGCTTCTCCTTCATGTGCTGTTAATGACAAATTGACTTGTGTCTGGGGAAGGATGTCTTATTTTAAAAATTGCTGTTGGATTTGTTGGCATAATTTTAAATAGTGAATGCGGGTTTCAGGAATCTGACAGCTTTGCTTGTCAACCATTAATACAGCATATAGCTAAAACTAGGTTCCCCATAGTAAAAGCACGAAGTTGGAGGATGCTTGATGTAATAGGATCCTAAGCTCTTGGTGCTTTAAAACACACCAGTATTTTGTTACTTTTTCAAAACACTTTGAGAGCCACGGAAGATGTGCAGTAAAGCAAATCTCCAGCATGGTTACACTGTGAAGCAGAATCATAGGTCTCCTGAGACTTGGTCTCCTCCCAGGTACTCTCTCCCTCCCCCTCTGCTGCTTATCACACCCTTTTCAGGCTTTTTTCTGCAGCTGCTGGTCCAGAGCTTGTCACCTCCAGAAGCTGCTTCCCTGGGCATTTGAATTTTCAGTAGCAAGAGAATACCAAGTAATATAGGCTATGTCCCAGGTAGCCCATCTCATTCAGCTCTTGCTCTCATTTAAGTCTCATGTTTGAAGTTTGTCTCTTCCTTATTCTTTTACTTCCCTGCAAAAGAAAAACAAATTCAGTAGCACTTCTGGCTCTTCCTAAAGTGCCTATCAAGCTTCAGCTTGTGGAAGAGATTTTTCCTTAACGTTGTAGCAAAGAGAAGTTTTTCTGCTAGAGAACGAGATGCCCAATAAATCTGTCCTTGAGCACCATCTGATGGGGAAAATCATGTATTGACTGGGGACGTTTTTTGCTTTGGAAAAACACATCTTCAGCAGTGACTGGGAAATTTGCCAAACCCACAGGGATTGGGTGTTTTTGTTGTTTCCAGATGGACTCCTCAGTAAAGTCTGTAGTATCAATATTTTACTGCCTTGGTAAATGCCCAGCTGTCCAGTTTTAGGGATGAGAAAGTAGAGAATACATTGTGTTAGTCTTTTCTGAGAGTTTATTTTTTACCCTTTGGTTGCTGAATTTGAAATTGAAAGTAATTAGGATAAGAAAGTTGGTAAAGCAAAGGCTAGAGCGTAGGCAGACACCCAGTTATCTGTTTTAAGCAGATATTTGACAAAGAAAACAAGAATAATTTGCTGTAAGAGACCAGATTTTAAGGGCTTTGCTACCTGGTACTAAAGTGTAATGCAAGGTCCACTGAAAGCATAGGTAGTTTGTTAAATAAGATAAACATTCTGCCTAACAACTAGCAACTTGAGAACATCCTCTGTTGAAGCCTCATATAAATAACATAGGGGAACAAACTAGGTTGAAAATTTGGCTGAAATAACATGCATGCTGTTCTGAATAGTGCCTTAGGATCTCTGAAAGTAAACACAGTGCATCAGCATTTTCAAGAGATGCCAAGTTCATCAGATCCAAACACCAGCAACATTTTAAGGCTGACACTGCAAGTAGTTTTTCAGCTGGTCACCATTCTCAGAATTGTTCTGCCAACTTCTCTCAGCTTCTGAAGAGAAGATGAAAGATCTTGAAATCAGCTGGAGGAATGCTTTTTGTACTTCAAGAGCTCTGATTCTATAAGACTGTGCTTTTGAACATGCTTACAACACAGCTATACTGGCTGTGTTTTATTACTATACACAGTGTATAGTAATACTACTATATACACAGTGTATAGTAATACTACTATACACTGTGCCAGCCAGGCCAACAATAGATTGGAGGAGTAGCCTGGCAAATAAAATGCAGGAGGTATCAAGTCCAGGCAGTAGAAATAGGATCTGCTGTAGGACACAATAGAGAGGTAAGTCATAGGCTACCTAACTCACCTTATTCAGGTGCTATTTTAATTCTGGAGAGAAAAGACTAACAGTCCTAAAGTGATTTAGCATACTATGATGCAATTTGTACTTTCTAGATAAAGCTGTAGCTGTGCTTGACACTGTCAATTGTGTGAACCACCATGAGGAAGCTGTCTTAGGACACTCAAAAGGTTTAATATCCCTCTTGGCTTGTTAGATGGCCAATTAAACAGGAAGCTACTTGAAAAAAAAATCAAAATTGTTAATAAAAATATATTTCAGCTTCAGCTTGATTCTCCTGCAAACACTTGAAAATACCTCAGCATTTGGGAGCTGATCAGATTTGGGGTTGATAAGTCTCTCTTGGATACTGTGCTGCACTGCTTGAAAGTTACCTTCATCAGAATTCCTCCTGCAGGTGCTTGGCATGTCTTCTAATAGGACAATACAATGGGATATTGGGTTAGCATCATTTCTTAGACAGGCACTGATGCATTTCCTGTACAGGCACACAGGAGTGACTAGAAGCTCTGGAAGCCTCTGTATCTTGTAATATTCAACAGGATATCAGTGAGTAAATGCAGGAGGGAATACAACAGTTATGGGGTTATTCCATTTCTTTATCTGAAATGTGCTGGGCTTCACATTTGTGTGTTGTGAATTGAACCAGCGTTCTAATTGCAAAAGGTTTTGTTTTAAGAAGTAAATTTTGGAAGCAAGAAGGTAAATTCATTTTAAATACTGCAAGTTATTGCATTATTATTTTACATCATTTCCAAAATCTTCTGTTTATTACATTTGAGAGAAGAACAGTTCCTGTTCCAAAGCTTTTGTCAATAAATAACTCCTTGATGCTAATATTGAGTTAAAAATAACTAAAAATGTATCTTAATTCCTCCTTGTAGGTTGAACTACGAGGTTTTCAAGACTTACCTTTAAAAAAAGGCTATTTTATTTCCCACAGGGAAGAGATCTGAGCTCCACTCAAAATAGGTTGATTCTCAAAGTTCAGGCCACAATTAACTGCCTTGCAAGATTCCTGCACAGCTATGTGTAAGTGTTCAAAAAGTATCTGTTGGAGTGTATGAAACAGTAACCAAAATGCAAAATATGTTTATGTAAAAAATTGAGTACCTATCATAGGTTATCAGTTATTTTACAGAAAAATTATTGCACTGTATGTGCAGCTTCTTCATTGTCAGCTGATCATGAAGATAAGTGCTAAAACAGTGAAAATTTCAAATTATAAAAAAAACCAAAAACAAACAACAACCAACACATCCAAGAAAACTAACTCAAAGAAAGAGTGAGCAAGGGAAAAATCTCATTTGGCAGTTATTTCAAGGTTGAAACTTTCAAGATTCAAGAAACTGCTGAGTAAATCAGTGTAACCCCAAATAGCTGCAGCTTCTCCTCCCTCAAGTCAAGGGAGGAGTCGCATCTTCTCTCCAGGGATGTCACTTACTCATCTTACTTGCTGAATTTTATCATGGCAAGCAAGAGACAACACAAGGGATTTAAATATGGTCTCCATACACTAGGAATGCTAGCTTTCAGCATCCCATCTCAAAACTGGTGAGTTCATTCTTTGCCTTTCTTTCTTCTTTTCCATTCACTATCAAGTGACTTCTTGGTTGAATCCTAGGGCTTCTTCACCTTTTATGTGAAAAGTTTATTATTATAAGAAACAATTAGACCACAAAGAAAAAAAAACTGCACCTCTTTAAATTGGCCATCTGTATTTCATGCCATAGTTTCAGCAGAGGAAGAGTGAAAAAAAAAAAAAAAAAAAAAAAAAAAAAAACAGTGACAAAATGATAAAGGTAGATTGTAATTTCATTTTATTACTTTTCCTTAAAAAAATAAAATAAAATAGTGCAACTTTTCTGTAACTGAGGCTTTCCAAAGAAATGTTTGCACAGGCTTTCATTTTGGCCTACAATTAAGAACCTTTTGTTCTGTAGCATTACTTGTAATGTCCCTGAGATCATAACCTCCTAAAGGTTTCTCAATGCAAATATTAATTTCATCTTTATTTAGTGTATATTGAGACCTACTTTTCAAACAAAAACATTAAATGTGTAGGCTTTGAAGCTTTTATAAGCAGAAAAGTAAAAGTAATATTCTGGTAGTTTTACAGTAAAGTTATATTTTATGGTGTTTACAGAATTTAGCTTTAAACAGTGCAGCAACACTAAAATGTTGTTACCTAGTATAACCAATAAGCATAATAAAAATTACTAAATATTTCAAATATGTTAATTTTTGAAGAATTCTCCACCTTCCCTTTTAACTTTTGCTACAGTTGCAAAACAGAAAATACCTGAAGGATAGAAGGATAGTTTTAGTTAACTATTTGAAAACATGGATGGAAAGAGGATAGGAAATGTTGGGTGAGAACGGATTGAAGCATCTGCCAAGCAAAACAAGGAGATAACATACTTGAAAATGTCTGAAGTAAATTCAACAGATCATTACAGGAATTATCTCTGATGAT